TGTCTTTTTCCCCTTACCTATAAGGGAAGGGAGTGACTTGTTGTTAAAGAAGAGACGTCTTTCAATTCTGTGCTGTTGTTTTTTACGGTATATTGTCTCACTGCAGACAGACCTAGTCAACACTATAGGAGAAAGTGCAGCTTTGGGAGCAGCAGGAGTTGTTGTCTGGGAGAGAACGGAGGCTAAAACCGAGGTACGCACATACTGTACCTATATGATACATGTCTTTAAAGTTATTTGGAACTTTAGCTTTGGTTCGAACCCTGCCTTTACTGTCTTGACCTGAAAATGAAATATGTGCAACTGTCCAACGTCTGGCACTGCTGTGAACTCTCTGTCTCTCTCTCTTTCCTAATTTCCCAGAGAGAGTGCCAGGACCTGGCAGAGTTTGTCCGTAAGGTCCTGGGACCCTACTCCATAAATGTTACCACAGCATCTCGACTCTGCTCAGCTTCTCTGTGCCAGGGAAAGGGCCGGTGTGTCCGTCAAAAACTAGAGAGCTCTGCTTATCTCCACCTCCCAGCACCACCTGAAGCGGTGGAGAAGGTGACACAAAAGGTGAGTCCGGTTTAAAGAAAAACCAGGGCCCAGCAGGTGATGGTGCTTATAGGTGTCTATGTAGAGTACTGGTTGACTGTAATGAAAGTGATGTCTTTTTAGGCCACCAGACATTAATGCCATTGTCACACTGCAAAATAATGAGGACTCGCTACTCCAATAATTACTAAATTAACCACATATCCATCCTGAATTAACCAATTCAGGTACATAGCAAAAAAACTACTTTGCTATGCTGATGATATGACAAAATATATGTGTCCATTTAACAATCACGCAAAATGAATGCACCCTTCGTTCCCTTCTGAATGTAATATTATAATGTGTGCAGCGAATCCAGAATTAAACGTGTGAACAGAATTGTTGTGGTTGAGTGTGAAATCAGTCAATGAGTGTAATGCTGAATAAACAAACTGATTGCACATCAACTTCCAGATTGATAAACACACGCTGACATGTGTAGCATCTATATTTACTTTTGTAAAGACCATGTGTGACGTCACAGCTCCTGTCCATGCAGGTCACGTCAGGGCTGTGGACTGTTGACACTGGAGTGTACGGTACATAACCTCGCAAAAACAAAGGACTTACAGTGTGAACCCAGCCTAACAGTAACTCCTTCAGCTAATTTCTAATTCTTACACACTAGCTCAAACAAAACTTCTCTTTGAGCAATGTATTATGCAGAAGGATTCTCCAAATGGGTTTGTGTTAGTGTGTCTTAATCTGCATAATTTCCAGAACTAACAGTGCAGTGGTGTCACGCTCACAGAAAGGTTACAAACACACATGAGACTGGTGCAGATGTAAGAGGCTTTTACGAGTCCCTTTGTAAAACAAAACAAAGCCCTGGTGGCCCCTTTGACTTTCCCTCTTTTCTGCCAAAAACCGTTGATTCACAAAAGCCTGTGAGAGGCGTGTGCGTGAGGAGAAGCGAGACCTCAAATAATCACATTCTTTCTGTGTGGGAACACTCATCCTGAGTCACGTCTGATAAAAGGTGCGATTTTTATATAAAAACAGAAGGAAATCCAATTGTCTGAGGAGCTTCACTGTATCAACAACACAATAGCTGAGACACAACAGTGAAGGATAAAGTGGACTTCAGAGCAGGAACACTTTGTTCCCCTCTGTATCAGAGATATTCAGAAAAAGAAGCCTGAATATGCTAGAAGGCTATTAAAATTCAGAATAAAAAAATGTTTGCTGCTGTGTAAATGTGTCTCCTTCCCAGGCAGAGGCAGAAAAAGCCACAGATCAGACAGCAACAGAGGTGAAACCAGCAGAACCAGACCCAGCTGAGATATGGAAGAGGGACTTTCAGTGTCAGTGGTACAAGACTACAGACGGAGACGTCTCAGACCAACAGTCTCCCCAAGACGGAGCATCTGCTGGGGAAAAGACTGGAAACCTGGAAACTGTGGAAACTGCCACAGCTTTCTCATTTTCTTCTACAACAAAAGGTGCCTCAGACACAGGGTTCAGCTCTTCGGGTTCTTTACGTCCAATGGATCCACCCGAAGGAGCCAAAGACAGAGGGGGCGATTCACCATGTCCCCCACGTCTGACTCTTCTACTTGTACTTGTGACTGGAAGTATATACCTGGAACTCTAACACTGAAATAAACCTGACTTCAGGTGGAAGTTCTAGGCTTAAGCCGCCTCTCCTAAGTGCCCTTGAGCAAACCACCAGAGGCTAAGTGCAGCAGGTGTTGCTCCGTAGCTGAAAATGTCATTTTCATAGAGTAACACTAACAACTGTGTCTAAATCTGAAAGGTCTATCCACCGCTACCAGGGGTCGTGCCAACGGACGGTGAATCCCACGACTGTCACAGACAATTGTCCGTCTGTACCTGATGTCATTCTAATATTTGAAAGATGAATGCGACACAATAGGCCTGACCGACTCATGTGCTGCTGTAAAATTACCGTCCAATCAAATCAAATTGGAACATTTCAATTGCAGAAACATAAAATCCATCTGTAAAACCTACAATGACCATTTCATTGTCAATTGAAATCAATAAAGACTTGTTCTGTTGCATGTCCGTCATTTGAACAAATCAAGAGTTAAATTGAAATGGACTTTTAATAACGATGAGTCATTAAATCAAATTCAATTTAAAAAGAAAATTCGACGTGCTTCTACCACAAAATAACCAGGCACTGCAAAAGTGGAAAAAAAGTCAACAAAAAGTGCAGTACAAACGATCAGAGCTCTCGGGTGCCATCTGCCTGAAATCTGCTGAAACTGCACATTTCAGCTGAAATGTCAGAGGAGGAAGAGCGCAGAAAAAACTGTTAATCCAACCAAGACTGAAATATATTTAGAAGTTTATTAGATGGGAGCTGGTGTAATCCCGCCTGGCTTACTTGGGTTATTAGTAAATTATTATTTTTTCTAAAGACTCAGTTCAACAAATGTTCCCCAGACGTCAATAAGTACTCTTATAAAACTTCAATTTTACCAAATATAAAAAAATAGTAGTTTTCATTAAGTGTGTCCTTTACATCATGCTTTAACGTCCATTTTACTCTAAATGGGATCTCCATTCATGTATCTTCTTAAGAGCCAATGTAAGGGAAAAGATGGTGAACACAGAACACATATGGACAGTTTGAAGTTCACTGGGCCACATATAGAGACAGTCAGAGTCACACTCATACCCAGGGTCAGTTTATAGGTTCATGTTAGTCTAACAGCCAATCTGTTTGTTTTTGGACTGTACAGGGAAATTGAGCTTAAATCGGGCGGCAACCAACAGGACATCGGTCAGTTACAATGACTATTATTAAATAAAAGGTTTTAATTCATAAGTCACTGTACAGTAGTTAATACCTGCATCCCCTTTCACATAAAAGATGTCAGCATGTGTTCGTACCTTATGTCATTTTATTCATTAATTTTCATTCAAATATACACTCAAGACCAGGGGTATCTGAATCATTTTAGTAACAGAAAGATCATATTTACACAGGTACATCTGATTGTACAACAGAAAATGCATTCATCATACATATATATATATATATAATGAATAACAAATTTACATTTCCTTCTCTGTCCCATCTCTACCATGTTGCTCAGACGTTCATTCTGTAGAAACTGTACCTTCATTTTAAAGACAGTCATCACAGCCCTGACCTTTTTTTTTTTTTAAATCAGGATATTGTCAGGATGAGTTTTGAGGATGGTAAACTTGAATTTTCTTTCTCCTTCCTGACATTTTCTGTCAACTGTCACAAGCTAAAGCAGGAAAGGAGAAAAATTGCATTCCTTGAAACAGAAGTGAAACTATGTTAAAAATAATTATGTAGAGATGAAAGAGTAGATGAGACGAGGTGAGATGACACTGCTGCTCAAACGTCGTGATACAACACTGTCACAAACCCACTGTAACCAACCCAAACATCAATTAACAATGAATGTAATGTAGGGATACATGAGTCAATATTGACTGTTGTTGGTACAGTTATATATACATACATATTTGTATGTATGTATTTAAATATTTAAAAACAAAGCACTGTGTGAATGTGGTCTAATTTGTTGAAGCTTATGTGATGCATTTCAATGGATGACTGAGTTAACAATTGAGGTGCGGCTTTATTTCCATTAAATACAGTATTTGCCATCTGACAAAAACAAACATTTGCTGTAATAGGTTCTTAAACAAAATACTATTCTGAAGGAGAACTTAGTCATTTAATTTTGGACAAAATGTGGCCCAGCCACAAATGTCAACAAATATTTAAATATCAATAAAACATACTTCTATGGATGAAACAGTCTACAGTAAGTCTGACATGTGACAAAAGACATCCCCAGTAAACATGACTCAAACCAGATCACATACAGTACTGTAGTTCCTGTCATCAGCTATAGTGACACATACAAAACCTTTGTAAACACATTGATTTACTACAGGGCTCCACACCAGTGCAATGAAACATGTGCCACAATCTCTACATAATTTAACTACATCATTCAGTGGCAGTGTGCTGAACCCACGGCCTCCACACTGATCAATCACCCAGTGTTTTTAAATAGTAAATACTCACATCCGGCCCATTTTAAATGACAAATGCTTAAACAGCGGCCTGGCCTTGTTCCAGCCTTCATCCCTCTGTTCATCTTATTTAAAAAAAAGATTGAGGTCAGTTTTTTCAAGAACAAATAATCTGATTTTTAATCTATTATAATTAAATTATACTTTAAGTTACATTTAAACTCAATGCAAACAGAGGCAAGGCTTTGGTTGTAATACATTTATAATATTTACTGCATTAATCCAGAAAAGACTTTATGAATTATTATTATTATATATAACTAATAAGTCAAAAACACCTAAAAACTCACTTTAATTAGGTTTCTGAATTAAGGCAAAACACATAATAGTTGATATTGTAATACAAAATGAATGTGTTTTGCTGGAAAAGAAATTGAAGAGTTAATAGTTTACCAAATAATGAACTGAATATTTCAGATGATGAGTTGACAGTGCTCAGTGACATAGGCAGAGAACACTGGGGTTTAGCCCAAACAATGCAAGTTTCTGCAGAGACCATGACAACAGGTAGGTCATATTATTATATATTACTGTGTAACATATGGGTAAATTATTTTATATTCACTTTCTGTTGTGAGAACTTGATTCTTTTATCAATGTCCCATCACTTGTGTTGTCTGTGGAGGCTGGATTGCATTGTTTTTGTTGATCCACTGAATAAAATCGAAATAACTTTGTTTTGGGGTGTTTTTTTTTTTTACTAAAAATGGACAGCTATCATACATACAGTATGATGTACTACATATTTATTTAGGAATGTTGAGGTGAAAAATATCAAGCCCCGAAATCCTGCACACTGTCAACAAGATCATCGTTGAGCCTAAGAGAAACTTAGAGGGGGAAAGAAAAATTACTATTAGGGAAAAAAATATTGAAGCAAAAATGAAGTTAAAAACTTTATCAGAGGAACATATGACTCAAATAAGCATAAGCACATCTTGAACAAAACAAAACATTGAATAAAATGGCAAACTTACAGATGTAAAGATGCAGACTTTGGGTTCCTCCGCCAAAGTCTTTGGAGAACATTTAAATGTTTGTAGACAGTGAGAAGTTAGTGCAATCTGAATGGGGCCGGCTGGACGGATGGTGCCACACAATTCCTTCTACAACATGAGACTGTAGGGTTTACCACCTCCTTATCTTCAGGGTGTGTTCAGGGCACTCAGCTAAGTGTCTCCCAAAAGTGTTAAAATGCAAGGTTTAAGCAGAGGAGCTGAGGCTGCTTTTACAAACGAACGGTACTCAGACCCAAACGCAAATCAGGGTCAATTCTGTTGAGCATTCACAACAACAACATTTGGTCAGTTCCAAACAAAAGAACAAGCGGAGGTCCTGTTAGTGTTGATCACCCAGCATGTCCATCATGGCTACAATGTGCGGTGCCTGCAAAAGTGTGGAGTTACTCACAGACATCATCCGCCAGTACGAGCTTGACTACAGATCTTCGAAGCAGGGATGGATTTGCGTACCAGACATGCAGGTTATTTGCAGATTGCCTCCAGAGCATCAAGGGTACGCTTAATGTCACGGATCTGTGCAGCTAGAGTGTGTATGGGCTGCATGGAACGATCCAACTCCTCACAGCGAGCCATCAGTGTGTACATGCCCTGTGCGAGCAAAAACATACAGCAAGGTGTGAAGAGCCTGTTTAAACATGAACTTCAATGTGCAAAAGAATTGCCTTTTTGACAGGCATAAATTATACATAAAACACAAAAATGAATACTTGCATTAACTCTGGATAAATTGCAATTTTTCTTCTTTTTATTAACTTAATTTAGAATACATGCTATTTATATTCCTGCAAGTATTTTTTTTCCCCTTTCTCCAGGACATACTTTTTATTCTTTTGTGGTTAACAACGTAACAGAGTACGTATATATACTTGTCACCTTTATACTCATGTCCACAGACTCTCCAAGGCTGTCCACTGAGTCTCTGTAGGTCTGGATGTAGCCCACACTCAAAGCTGTCATCTGGATCAACACACAGAAGGGCAGAATCAGTAATTAAGATGAATATCAAATACTACTTACATATTTGCAGTAAAAATACTGCCAATACCATGCACAATACACCTGCTGCTCTAAATCTAAAGAGTTGAGAACTTACATTCTGAATCGTTCCATTCAGACTCCGCATCATCATCTCTACACTGTGTGCCACTTCTTTGGTGTGTTTTTGTAGGTCCAATAGGACAGCAGGATCAATGGGTGGAATGTCAGCTGGTCTCCGCGACAGCCCTCGACTTCTGTAGATAGGCCCTGAGCAGTCAGCTGGAAAGAAAAAAATGGAGAAGTAACTGAGAACCTAAAAAACTGAAAAGAACAAAAGAAACAGGAACTGACTGAAAAAGAGTTTTTATATCATTCTTGCTTTGCAAATACTTCTATAACCATGAAATACTCTTATTCAAAAGATGCAAACAATAACCTGTCTTAGACTGTTATGTTTGTAAGCAGTCATTAAAAACTTTACAGTCCCAGTAAATGGACTGCATTACTTCACCATACTCACAGTCACTGCAGTCCAGGCTGGGCTTGGAGCTCATCTTTATTTTCTGCTCAAGGTTCTTGGTGATGAAGTTGGTCAGATCACCCTCATGGCTGACAGTTCCTTCTAACTCAAGGGCAGAGGAGATTGTAGCTCGTCGACCTTCTGATTGGCCAGTCCTACCTCCACCACGGCCTCCTAAACTGCCTGTGAATACAGAATCATCAGCTAAAGTTTAACAAAAAATATCTATGGATAAAGAACAGTTTAAAAAAACAATCTACAGCAACTTCCTTTTACGTTATTGCTGCACAAAAAACTACTTTAGACAATATAATTTTAGAAAGGTCAAAGTGGACAATATCTGTTTGACAGGTTTTTACCTCCACACGCTTGGCTAATTTCATCCAAGCTCTTACTGTCTTGCATCCCCCGCACATTCCGAACCCAGACTTGGGCCATGACATGTGGAGGACAGGGGTCATCTTCTGAAGGAAGAAGAGGAGGTGGAGGAGAAGAAGAGGAGGAGGAGGTGGTGCTTGGACCAGGGGCTGAGGATGAATAGTGCTGTGATGACAAGAGAAAAAAAAAAAAGGTCTGAAAAAGTAACATTATTGCTTAGTGTATCAGATGTAGAAATCCTTATAAAAGCAGGCTTATGTCCTAAATTACGCAATAGTGTCATTTTCTTTGATGGAAAGCTTTTTGCATCATTATGAAAATATTCCACCTTAAAATATTATACCTGGCTGAGAGATTCCCCATGTTCTGGTAAGATTAATGGTCATGATATCAGCTGATTGTTTTTCTTAGATTTTCCCATGACATCACCGTCATGGGAAAAGCTCAACTGTCAGAGAAATAATCCCACAGTCTGCTCACCTTTGTTCTCCCTACAAAATGACTTCTCCGTTTTTTGTCATTCTTCTCATCATCCTCCTCATCCTGTTTCTCTTTTTCTCCATCTTCCACCTCATCCTCCTCCTCATCCTCCTCCTCCTCCTCATCTTCCTCCTCCCGGCTGGTATCTCCCTCTAACGTCTCTGTCTGCCGTCTGGTAGAACCTTTTTCGATAGAACCTTTTTGCTGAGAAAAGTCTTTGGTCTTGGCCAAGTTCCACTGCAAGGTTGCATCAGGAAGTTCACAAGTGTTGGAAGCCTTGGAAAAGTCTTTGATAGTAGATCCTGATTTTAAGTCATCTGCATTTCTGTCTTTGCAGTAGGAGGGATCTTTTACCCAGTTGGCTTGTGAGGACACACTAGGTGTTCCATCTTTGAAGTTAATTTGGCCATCAAACCCTTCGTTTTCCACAAGACTCTCTCTGTCCTCATTGAAACTATCTTCTGACGAGTCCTCGGGACAAGGTGCTCTGTTCTCTCTGCATATAACTGAGACAGGATCGTGGGAACCATTCTCCGAAACAACAGGTATCACAACACCATTAGCAGTTTCTGGCACTTCTGTGCCACTCACAGGGGAGAGACTCATCCCTCCACCTGCTGGTAAGAGAAAGCCACTGTAAAATGAGAGTTTCAGCTTTTAAATAATGAAATATTGTTTTTCTGTGAGTGTAGACAGAAAAAACATAATGGAATAGAACCAAACATGAGATAATGCCTCTCTTTTACTGCAGATCTGTCTGTATTTAGCTTTTATTATATTTCTGCAATGGTTAGTTAATTAAAAAAAATTGTAAAATTACATCAAAATTATATTATTTGGTGCAACTCTGCAATAAATCAAATGTATTTGTCCGTCCATAATAATGTAAAGAAATTGTTTTATATCTAACATAGGACATCAAGCCTAAACGTATCAAGAGTCGAAAAATTTGCCTATTGACATTAAAAAAATATGTTAGCGTAAAATAATCCGTTTTAGCCAGGGAACGTTGTTTAAGTGAATATATTCCTTTCGAGCACATTCAGGGTCCCTGAAGTATGTAGGGCACTGTTGACACCTAAGAACTTAACAAACAAGTTCACAAAAATATTAAATGACGTTATAGTCGACTGGCTGAGTTCTCACTATGCTATCAGCTGACATTCTTAGGACTTTGTTGTCAAATGCTGTTAAATAATGGACCCAGTACGAAGACACCGTTGAACATAATGAAAACAGAAACAAGGAACTAAAAAACATTTATAAATAGTTTCGTATCGAGAGTGTAGAAGTTGAAGCTCTGCTTGCCTTTAGCCGCCTTGCTAACTCACTGTCAGCGGGGAAATGTTGTTAATTGTTGTTAGCATTGAGTGGCTAACGCTTGCTGTCAAGGCCTTTAAACAAACAGTTACGTGTTTTACGTTATTTTACCGAAGTTCACACAAAGCAAAAGCGAATTTGTATTTTGGTGGAAAAAACAGAGAAGTCTGTTAACAGCACCACGTAATTTATTTTGTTACAGAAAACACTCACCAGAGCAGTTCCTCTTCTGGAAAATATAAGCAACAACCAAGTCCGACACAAAAATTCTTCCCCTCTAATCCCAACTAAACCGTTCCGCGTTACTATCACTTCCTTAAAAATACATAATACAATAGAAAGCCAGGAGCATGCTAGCATGGACATTATCATTTAGATGTTCAGCAATTCATCTTAATCCTAAATAAATTATACACGAATATGAACACATGCATTTGAATATACACAAATATTGACTTTTTTTATAACGGCAGTAGCTTTTATCACATGACTGTTTTTAGAGTCTAGGATCAGTCTGGATAGATTGTTGAAATGTCACGGGGTATAGTAAAGGTCTAATAATAAAGGTAACAATAAAAGTCTAGAAAATACATCTTTTTTTAAAAAAAAAAAAAAAAAGGAATCGCACATGTGTCGACGAGGGTAGATGTCCTATTTTCATGACTTCCTAAGTATATTCCTAACAGTACTACGAAAACTACCATTACCACCACTACAGGGGCTGACGGATTTGATTGAGTTAACGCTGCATCTTCACTCCTTCTCCTACAGATGGAGACAAACGCCTTTGTCTTTTGCCCACGTTGTCATTTCAGCGTTGCCATGTAAGGCAGCTCGTACATAAGGTTGAGCGTCATATTTCGTGTTACGAAAAAAAAGCCTCCATGGTCGTTATCCCGAGCTTTTTAGATAAAAGAGTAACAACAGTGCCAAGGACGGAAGAGGACAATTCAATATAAATGTATAAATTAATATGAATAAACTGGCTTTTTAAATATTCTGGCTTTACTTCAAACAACTAACCATCAACCCACAGGTAATCTATAAAAAACTATATATAAAAAAAAAGTTCAAAGTCAAAATAAAAGTACAGGTTAAACAAGGCACTCCCATAAAAAACTTGCACAGCTAAAATTAAAAGCTAAGCTCTGTTTATTGTATAAACACACCAGTGGCATCAGGTTGCCCAACCATACCTTGTAGCTTTGTAATCATAATGATGGAAGAGTTGATGATTAACACAAGGGTCTTACTGGTGACCTTTCACCCAGAGTCAATTTCCTCTGTCTTTTAATTAGCTGTAAAACTATTGCCTGCCCTCTGTCACAAACCGCTGATTTATTGAATGAATGTGTTTGCCATTCCGTAAACTTGATGGTCAAACGTCTGGTAAAGAAGCCTCAGTAAGGACTTGGTTTAGTCTTTGTGCCTCCACTGTGGAACCCAGGCCTGTGTCTGTGTTTTTTCTGAACAGTGAATGTGGTCAGAAGTGACACACACTGCTGCAGAGAAGAAGAGACCATTTAAACCCACACAGCCACCACATTTTCAGAGATCTTGTAAAAATTTCTAATCCACCCCATGCATCCAGACCAGCTGCTGCCGCTCTGCTGGTGGTTTCCATGCTGTTGTATCCCATTTGATTCATTTTGTGCCAAACATCAAAGCTTGAGACAATTACCTAAAGACAATTAGCTTTCCAAAAACCAATAGTAAAACACCCAGTAACCACTCTGACCCATCCCATATTTTTATGTGTCTCCAAGGAAGCTACCACCACAAGGAAGCTATTTTGACAAAGGCAACTGCTGCAATAAAGACAACATTTCGTAGAATGAGGGATACACAAGGAATTTAAATGCAGATTGGTTTTCCCCTATTGTAATAGCTGTAAACCTAACTGTTGTGTTTTCAACCAAAATAAAAATCATAAATTACTTAAATTATTTTGAGAAAAAAATATTAGAAAATGTCAGTCATTAACATCTACGAGAATTTTGAGAAATGCTGTAGAACGGGAGTCAGCCACAGTTGTAACCAGTGGCATAAATAATGTATACTATGACATTTAATGTTCTTTTGTCAACACACAGTAAATAATGTCCTTACATGACAAACGTATGTTGCAGAACTCCTCTGTGGCTGTAAACACACTCCTTTCCACACAGGCTTTAAGCTGAACTGTTTCTTCTCTGTTCCCATAAATCACCAGCTGGACAAAGAAAGCCACTTAAACAGGTCACTAAGAAGTAGGCCTACTAAACTATATTTCACTCTCCGCCTCACAAATACACTCTAGTAGATGTGAACGCGCTGTTAGAGTCCAGCAGACCCAGTCTCCTCTGACTTTGGCCCTGGGACAAGATTAGAAAAATGTTGGTTATTTATGTCCAGATAAACACAGGCAGAATAAAAATAGAAAAATAAAGACGTAAACCACAGTTTAAGGTGCATGTGATCGACTGTAGACTTGGAACCCTGTCACATGACTGCAGCACCAGGCCTGGTGCATGTACCTATGACAAAAAACTGTTTATCCCACAGAATCTAGATAATATGAAATACTACATGACAAAGTTGTCCTCAAATTGTGAAAGTATCATAACCAAGTCTTATACTATTGCAATGGACAGAACACAAGTATTCCACATAAAGACTACACTCAGGTGGATTTAAACATAGACTCAGTTTCCAGGAGATGTTGAAACCATTACATTCACTTTTCCAACCAAACATGTAAAATGAGTTCTGTATAGGTTTAAATACATGCTATAAAGATAAAGGTCTCAGAACTGGGTGGTACTGTTCCTCCTGCTTATCTGTTTTCACCCTGACCAACCCTCCGTAAACAATTCTCCTTGAGACATCTGCATCTCATGAAAATTCTTCCTTTGTGCGTGAGGCAGCTCACAGATTTCAATTTCTTTTTTTTTCTCCAACTCAAACTGTTCAAGCCTTATATTTGCTGGTTCCACTTTTTACAAAACAGGAATGAATGTTTTGACCAGTATCTCTGTGGCATCTGTATTCCTTTCATTTTCGATTCTCCCTCTAACTTACATACGCAGTTTGTTAACAAGCAGTGGAAAGGCAGATCTGGTGTCTTCACTTTATTTTTATTTTTTTCTCCACTGTAAATTACTTTAACGTCTGGTCAGACTAAACAACAGAGGAACAGACCAAACTAAACCTAAGTAGATTAGACCTCACCTGGGGCTGCAAAGGTTTTGTTTGGTTTTTTTGCTGACTCTCAATTACTACAAATTTAATTGTGAAATTAAGCAGGGTGGTGCAGTGCTTAGCGTCGTTGCCTCAAAGAAATAACCCTGGTTTAGACAGGGCCTCTTCCTCTGAATAATAATGCACATCTCAGTTTTCCAGAAAGGTCAAGAGACACCGAGGTTAATAGAAAAGTCAGAACCTTCCTGCATGGATGTGACATTTATCCTTGTCTCCTCCTGTGAAGAAAACAAACTAATTCCGGTTTTGATTGGAGCCTGGCCTTATACACCGTCTACATGGACTGGCTCCATGACTCAAAGAGAAGGACATCATTATTTTGAGGAAAAAATCCTCAGTATGTGTGGCATTTTCAAACATCCACAGGAATTATTTTACAGAGGACCATTTGACTCAGGAAGCTGTAAAATTCTGTCCGTGAGCCTGAATGAACTATTTTGTCCGACATGCAAAAAAAGCTGCGGTGAAGAACACAGGCCACTTATTTCACCTAAAAAGCTCTTTTATGAACAGGGCTAAGAAAATGAGACCTTCTCTGTGACCGAGTGTCGTTAGAGCCGGGGCAAAATGGTAGTTGACTCACTATGTGGCAAATTCAACCAGTCTCCTCCCGACTGTCTGTTTCCTTTATTTAAATGTTTTGATTAAATTGTTGAATCCTGGTTAAATCTTTTGTTGGGAAAGAAAATGTCAATGGGTTTGTAGCCCGTGTGGGCAGTAGAATACACCACTTACAGGAACTGAATCCTTCCCAAAAACTGCAGTAAACTTCTATATAGTTCGGTAATTCAGTTAACAAAGGAGTCAAACTAGTATTAATCCAATTAATCCAAGTGTTATTTATAAACTCATTTATAAACTGCTGAATATTTTGAGTCTGGTTTCATGTTAAGTTAGTCAATTGTTCTGTAATTGACCAGTCTAATTAATTTACAGGGGAGTTGTTGACTAGGTCTGAGGCTTGGAATATACAAGGATTCTTCCTTCAAAAACTCCACACTGAATGGATGATATCCATCCATCCATTTTCATCCACTTATCTGTTACCATTATTTATTAAATCATTCATTAATTTAACCAGGGTTCCAGGTTTACCCTGGAGGGGGCAGGATACACCCTCAGACAGATGATCAGTCCATCACAGAGCCACATAATGAATCCAACAACCACTCACACTCACACATATGATCTATATAAAGTCAAACTAACCCAATACAGGATCTGACATGTTGCAGTGTGAGAGGAAACAAGAGATCCCAGAGATAAATGCATGCATAGATGTGGAGAACAAACTCCTGCAGAGAGACTATCAGTTATCCCTGCTCATCTTTGTAAGGCATGAGCACCAACCACCAGGCAGCCATCTTACCTCCTTGTCTATTACCTCTATCTTTACGTCCTCCTCCTCTTCGTCCATGGATCGTCCGTTTTCTTTTATCCAGCTGGACAGCTTTATCTCCAACATCCTTTATCCAATATATTTACTATCTCTCCTCAGCACATGTCCGGACCTTCTAAGGCTTGCTTCTCTGACGTTATCTCCAAATTGCTCTACTTCCGCTGTCTCTCTGATCGGCCCATTTGTGGCCTCATTCATCCTGGTCACTTCTGTCGTCAAAGACAGCAGGCTGAGCTGGTGTTGAAGGAGATAGTGAGGCACGTCCAACTATAATTTAAACCTTCCCTTTAACACCTGCTGCCAATCAGTCACACGTCCACCCTGTCACCTCCTCCTGCCAGGTGTACCTTCACTTCCTCTAATCGTCACCTTCCCTCCCAGCTTTCTCACAGAGCACAGAACTATTCTGTCTTGTTTTTACAGACTTTACTTCCTCTTCTATCAAATGCACACCTCCAGCTCTCCAGGCTCTCTTCCAGCTGCCCCACAACAGTAAAAGTGACCTCTTTGTAAATGTTACAGCACAATTTACAATGTAGCTATTCATGGCAACCGCAGTGTAGGTCTCTATAGTCTCAACCTTGGTTAAAACCTGCAAATCATACTAAAACACTCTCCCTCCAATCTTTATCTCTGGACTGCTGTAGTGCACATTAATTCTCATTAGGTGAGGTTATAAGTTTAAGATAATTTAAGTGGGAATTAACATGTGTACAAACAATGGGAGCACTGAATAAATATAGAGTATGGAGGAGTCTGCTGTTGATCAGGCATGAGTGGAATGTATTTTTCAACCATCACACTGCTCAGCTGTGCACACCAGTAGGTTTAGTACTTAATGAAAAAAATGACTTGCATTGGTCGGTGGTAGAGATGAACCAGTGGTTCATGCTGGATGGTACACATGTTACTGTCTTGGCATGAAGACAGTAACAAAAAAACAAAAAACGTTTTAATTTTACAGCACATTCCTGGCTTGGACTATTTTCTAACTAGATTATTCTAGAGTTGGCAACATTTCTGCTATCCTAGTAGCTAATAGTTAGCAATTTTCACACAGCATTGTTTGTTAGTTTCAGCTATATTTTATTATTATTATTATTATTATCTGTTGATTGGCTGGCTTGTGCTCAGATTGACACTATTGCAGTCTGGGTGTGTATGTTCTAATAAATTACAAACGAACTAGTCATTTCATAGAAGAAACAACCTTATTAGGATAATTCAAATACAAAGGCTTTAACCAGCTCTGAAACAATGTAATTTATGTGTAGTTCACTGTCTGGATACCTGTGTTTTAAGCTCAATAAATCCTAAACACAAAGACTATAAGTTTACACCAAACAAACAAAGGAATCTATATAAAAGAGAGGAAATGATTCAATAACAGTTTATTTCTGTGTATGGAAGTGTTCACTACAGACTGACACTGTTACTGAGATTTAAGTACACCATAACACAGTTGAACATTTTAGTGGCTGTGGAGCAGATCTGCACCATGTCTTGGATGTTTGAACAGTTCTCCATAAAAATGTCTCGTAGAAGCGTCTGCCTTCTGCACGTGCACATTCAATACATATATACATCTACACACTTATACACATATATACACAATATTCACAAGCTGGAAACTGACAACAGTTTGAATCATGCTTTAATAGACTGGATTGGGGTTTAAACATAAGGTGAGAGGACAGAATTTGACACATCAGTTCGCGATGTTCTGGTCAATCTGTGATCCTGGCATGGATTGGGGTTTACATCAGTTCACGATGTTCTGGTCAATCTGTGATCCTGGGTAAATTTAGTCTCTGTGTTAAATCATTCAACCAAAGAAGTCTTTGTGCTAAACCAAGCTAAATAGATGTTTTGGAGGGTCATGCAGCACACATGATCGAAGATTTATCCAAAAGTAATTAGGACAGTGAAAGTTCCTGAAAACCTTCCTAAATTATATTTTCCACTTTACCTGCAAAACATCTCAGAAAGTTTTTGGCTTAAAAAACCTGATCATCTGCTTACTTTATTGGGAATAAAAAGAAAAGCATTTGACATCCACCTTTAATAAGAAAAAAAGGAGATCTAATCACTGTAAGTGTTTCAACTTTGAACCTTTTGAACCATTAGTCGAAGTTTAATTAGCTTTCATGAAGCATGGACGTTCTCAGTATCCTCCTGAGAATCCTGTTTGAAGTACAAACTTGTGTTTTTGGATGCTGACAGAGCCTCACATGCTGCACGTCTTGTGTTTGACACATCTGTATTCTGACTTCTCTAACTGCCTCAGCAGCACATGCCAAATCTTGATTTGATTTTCCTGAAACCTCCTACATCTCCTCCTGTACATCCTTAAATATTTGAGAGGCAGCTTTATGTTCTGCAGCTCCTGGGTGTCATGAGCTAACTCACAAACCCACTTTCTTTCACTTCACTCAAATGTTCTCATTTACTGTCGAAGTAGCTCAAGAATCCTTGGGCCTTTCATGTGGCCAGAGTCAGGCAGCTGAAGGCCTGACTCCTGTTAACTCTCTGCAGGTTCCCTTTACTTACAGTCTATGATTTGGTTTATTTTTCTTACAGCATAAAACATCTCTCTGATCCGTCTCAAAGCTCTGAAGGGCTGGGTTTTAGGATCACACACAGAAAAGGATCACATTCCCAGAGTCATCACGTGGGATAAAACAAAATTTATGAAAATGCGAGCGTCTGTTATTATTGGACTAAGCCGGTGATATTGCTGCAAAGCACCTTCTGAACTGCACAAAGGTTGGACTTCAGTCAGACTGTCTGGCTCTTTCTCTACTTTTCACATGGATCGTTTAAACAGCAGCATCAGTCTATATTTAAATCCTCACTGCTCCTGCTTGTAATCTTGTTATTCACTCCACAAGTTTCTGCAGCCATTAGAGTGCATTCAATACATAAGACAGAATATAAGAAATGGATATAATCCTTAGTAAAGCCTTTAAAGACGACGTCTCAGCTGCTAAGGACATGTCTCTAAATGGAAGTCTGAAATAACTTGTCTTAGTCGAGGGTTTTAGGGCTTTTTCTGTACGCCCTAATGTCAATCCAATCCCATTTAGAAAGAAATATAAGACAAAACATGGTTGAATGTGTGTGTTTTCCAATGGTATGGTCACACCCACCAATGCTGTTGCCTGCAAATATGTTCCTCTTAGATCAACATGTTGCGCTTTATGGTCTCTTTTCCTCTAAATGGGAATTAAATGTTTAAAAAATGACAATGTTTTCACTTGGTGAACACAAGTACATTCTTTTTATTTTTGTTATTGAGTTAGTCATCTTGTTTTTCTCATGAACGTAACATTAACACAGAGTCACTTCTGCCCTTCTTCTACTGCTTTAACATGTAGCTATATTTAGAGCCACATCTCTACTTTGTTGTTTATATAGTCAGTGAAAAAAAAGCCTTAATAAAGACTCACAAATAAAGGTTACCACTGTAATCTGTGACCTGAGGAGACCAAGAAGCAGTTCCTAAAAACTAAAACAAGTATTCCCACATTAAAGAAATAAATACCATGTTGCAGAAAGTTAAATACTGGGGAGGGGGGAACAGGATCCACTCGACAACAAGTTCCAGCTTTGTACAATAAAAGCTTCTGTATTATACAGCAGGTCTGCTAACACAGTTTACAGCCAGATGTCATGACTATTTGGAGCAGCGGGACCTGCAACATGTTACTCCACAGCTTCAGCCGTGCTTTAATCCACTCAGAGACAGCGTCGCTCTGTGCCAAAGTCTAGGAAACATGCACGTTTTGTACAGAGTCTCTCGGCAGTCCTGTCGGAAACATGCTCCTCGTAAAGGTCCTATCAAATATGAATGACAATCTTTAGAAGGTGTTTTTCTTCCTTTCAAACCGAGAAAAACAGAACCACAAAAATCAATTTCACTTGCTAAAAATATGAAGTTAAATACTACATATAAAAAAAAAATTCCTGTGGCTCTTTACACACGTGTGGTAGCACAGACCCTGTTTGTGACATTTTGTGAATTGATATGAGGGCTTGATTCGGCCTCATATTTTAGCAGCAACATAATTCCTAACTTGGAGAAAACACAGAAAAAAAATGAAGATTTACAGATTTGTTTTCAGACCGGAGATGTTGTCCAGGCACCACTTTTTTTTTTTTTTTTGGTGAAAATGTACAGTAACATTCTTCTTAAATCTGTACGCAGCACTGATGATGAAGTGTGGAAAAACAAAAGCAACGCCGAAAATAGACTTGAACATGACACAGCACACACTCCTCCGCTTTGCTTACGTTTCCCCCGCACCTGCATTGCACAGACGACATTACTGAGCCAAACATTGTGGAAAAGAAAATGGAAACATCTCCTGCGGTAGGTTTGTACGGCTGTAGCACACAACAGTAATGACCTGGGAAAGTAAATCTTTAACCTCATCAAAGCGGTCGCAGCGCTTTCTTCATCTTTCATCTCAGTGGTCGCGGTCGGTCTTCTTGTGGTCCGACTCCGCCCAGATCAAGAGACCAACCAAGGCCCTCGTTTGGAGATAAATGCAGGAAAGAACTGGTGCATTTGACATACATGTTCATCAGGGAGAAATGCATGAACATAATCAGTGCTTTTTCCCAATGTAAATAATCCCAATCTTTGGGACCTACACTTTGGTCTACGTTTATGGTCATGGCCCAAATCTTCTGAACTAAAATACTTCACTTATTTATGATTGGGCTGAGCCATGAAACAAAGTGGAGGTACTTTTTTATATATGGAAATATATAGCATAAAAATTGTGACTGGATTGTTCATTGACCCAAACGTTTGCTCAGGTCTGTCTTTATCGAATACGACTTTATCACTGTATATTCAGATCCTATTTAGAGGAAAATTAAATAAAAAAATACCACAGGAGGAGACAACACGTTCAAATGGTTTGAAAACTAGATGCCATGTTCTATTGATGATGACCAGAAACATGTGAGTGTGTCCATTTGGTATGTTTGTATACTTGTATGGAATGTGGTTTATGATCTTCCTCTGTCACCAAGAGAATTCAGTAAAATAGTCATTTTTCCTACAGCTCTCAAAGACAAAAGCTGTAGTTAAAGTATGCAACAGCTTTTGGCTAAAACCCAGGCTTCCAGGTCAAAACTGGACCATCTCATTTAGCTCCAGGTGCAGCTTTCTGGCCACAACCCACAATTTGAGAAGCACAAGTCTTTCTTAATTATTTTTTAAAACTCTGATTGCTTGGTTATTGAAAATGAAGTA